TATGGTTAAAAAAAGCCGCCGTATTGTCGATAATCGTGGCTAAGCATTTGTGGTAGTGATACAAAGAGTGTTGAAGACTATAGCAAATTTAATTGTAAGGGTAAGTGCATTGACTATCTGGGCCTTCGTTTGGCATACACCAGGGCGATTTAGGCTGCTGTGATGCTCTCGTAAAAGGTTAGATACTGTATACCTACGCTATGCAACTAACGAGACCATAGACGGGCGAATCTCTTAACTGGATTGTATGTGTACTTGATTAAAAAAGGCACATGCAAAGGAAGTCAAGAGGATACCTTTTAATATCTGCACTTAAATCTATTTGGATTTGCAGATTTTATACGAGCTCATAATAATTCTCAGTAGAAATCTCCAAATTTGGCTAACGTGGTACCACTTAGTAGTTGACTTAGTAAATTTTCGCTTTTCATTAATGAGAGTAATTAAAAACCCAAATTATACGATTGTAGTACCATTTGCTCTTACGCTGGTGTGTCTATGGAACCCCGCTGATAGTCAAAACGAAGTCTGCGCCTCTGTGTCACGCGATTCAGAATACGCATAATTAACGAGCTGTTACCCTACCGATGTTACAACTTCAATTATCAGCTTCACAGCCAATGAAATATATGTTTTGTCAACAAGTTTAAACTTACCTGTTATTAGACCTCATATGCGGACCAAACAATGGCTAACTGTCACAGTTTAACTAAAGAATTATATTGCCGTATACACAGCGCAATTGCGGCCATAGATCGATAAAAAGCAACCATAGCGTAATTAAACTGTTCATTTTTACATATTCTTTAAAACATCACTAAAAAATTACCTCTACTTATAATACATGTACTTAATACGAAGAGAGTTTGAGGAGCGAACGTAATGCGATCACAATAATAGTAATTGTAACTGCTATTCGTATTGTCAAACAAACTTTTTTACAAACTATTGTCAAACAAACTTAGTGACGAATAACGACTGCAGGAACGCGCTAGGACGCGACGTTGCAGGCAAAGTATAAAACTGGATCCGCAACAGAACCAAAATTACCAACTTTAAATGATTACTTGAAAAGCATATAGCTTGATATGTGCCCGGTTTTATTATGTTAGCTGCTGAATATCATTAAATACAGGACTCCAGATATGATTTACGTCAGGTATTTCTATATTTTGTATTCTTGAGAGGCCCGCATACTCTGGCGTAATACCTATATGTCAAGCAGTTATTTACATGAAAGATTCTCTTTTGGAAGAGCTGTTGTTCGATACGATCGATCAGTAGTCCGTGTCTAGTGGTACTTAAAAGTTTAAAATAAATTTAGCAGGCTTTCACACGCAGTGAGTTGTTTTGGGATCGGGAAGCACGGCGCTCTTATAAGTGCATTGGGTCGTTGGGGACTTAGCGACTAGAAATATTCATAACCCTTGAAGAAGAAAAAATCTCTGCTGTTGCATTACCACTATAACTACGAACGGATATACCTATAAGATAGGAAGGAAACTTTTCTAGTTTCTGCATTTTTTTTACTAACGTCGCGCTATTCTTTTCTAACGCCACTGTTGCTTGTCTACCACATCCCTATAGACCAAAACTGTCATTGAAGGACTGCAGTTGTAGCAGTGACAAATGTCCGAATGGCAGATACGGCGAATAGACAGGCCGATTAGAGACGGCGCATACACAGACGTGATCCCAAATATCTGCTTTACTTTAGATGCACCTTACAAACAAGCCTCGTCGGCTGAAACTCTGATACTTAAACTTCGCAGATGTATAGATATATATATATGTATGTTGTGGCTTTTCCGGTTAAAGCACCCGCTATCGCCAATTTGATGTCTACTCGGCCGTTCAATACGTTTGCTGGAAGGTTCTGCGAATTTTACATTGCCCGTCTCTAACAATATGGCCCATAAGAAGGTTTCATGCGGGTACAATGTTGTTATCTTCTTTTCTCGCAGGGATGGTCAGTTATATAAGTCTGATTCACCCATTGACAATAGAACCAGCCGGAGCTCAGCGCTAAGGACGGCAGCAATGTTTTCTCGTTTCCTGTCAAAATGAGCAGTGTACGCTATGTGAAAGGGTCTTGAGAAAATTACAAGTAGATACTAAAATGAATTATTCACTGAACAACCGAATAGATTTTGTGTTATAGAAAAAAAAGAGTTCGTGATTTAAGGAAAAAGTAATACTTTGTTAATGTTAATATTTATTAATGTTATCGTATAATAACCTTCGTTGGGTAATTTTTTTCCGTGACCATATATGTTTCACTGGCAGTTAGTCGTCTTGCATAAACGCGATACTTCTTTTTCTAACGTTATTTAGCAAATTATTTTATACGGGTCAGTTATTTCTACTATTATTATTAGCAGTCGGTTATATAACAGTTTCGAATCGCATTATACGCTTAACTAAACGCGGCTTCAAGATATTATTGTTACCTTGGTTCATGTATTTGGCAATAACATATAATAAATAACAATAAACACCAAGATCGTGCAGAACACGAACGATCAAAGGAAACTGTCGACTTTAAATTTCTGCTTTCAGATACTTTCAAAGCTTACATGGCCACGCGTCTGCCAGTGAACATTCGTGAACGAATAGATGGATGAACGACAAAAGTACCTTAATTTCACTAATGATCTATCGAAATGAAATGTCAATAGCGATAATGTGCCTGGAGCCACTCTGACACCTGTTGGGTGTGTTTAAACAAATTTGCCGAGCTAGGACCTTCGCAGGCTCAGAGCTGATGGACATGTGCATAAAGGTTAGAGAATGTCGATGGAACACTGGATACATCAATATGTCCTATATCAAGTGGTAATCTAGTAAGTCATCAACGTTCTGTCAAGACAAATTTGAAAAAGCAGTGAGATTTAAGCAACTTAGTTTTATTGTTCAGAAAAAAGGTTAGTTCCCGGAAGCTGCTTCGTCGCAACAGTCTGAAAAGACAGACGAGGCGTTCGATGCTTGAAGATGCGCAAACGCTAACGCAGGCAAATTACGCACAATGCTACTACACCTTTTTTCTGCGATTTTCTGTTGAGGCCGAAGGGCCTATCGAAAACTACAGGAAACCAGTATTTAATGACACTTGCTGCTCCCCAGACACATCATAATGACCAACAACATCGAACATTAGGCTCCTGCACACTTATTTGTTATGAAGGACAAGTTGTATATAATATCTAGTATAATCGGCATCACAAGCAATTGGAAAGCACCATTGATCTGTCCGGTGAGTCTTAGAATCTACAGCAAGATAGGTCCTGAGAGCCTGACAAAACTATATGTATAGCAACGATCGTACGTCTAGATAACAGATGCGTAAAAATCATAGTAACTAATTTCAAGAGAGTATTGCAGGTAGCAGTATTCAGGTTAGGTTCATCTAGTTGAGTAAGCATCTGTAATAAACACCAACCTTTAAGTGATTTGCATTGGTTATGAGCTTTTCTTGCTATAAAATATACGCAATGGGGTTGATTGGGGGCGATTTTTTGTAATACATGATATAGCTGTGCTAGCTTTGGACTATCGCATAGGTTATTTCGTCCGCTATACCTTTCTATTTATTCACGGCTTACTGACAAGAAATTATGCACCATTGTTTTTAACGGAATGAGCGGATAACCAAATTTATGTGTGGTCCAACCGTTCAGCCTGCAGTCTCATTCTCTGCACAGGTAAACTCCATTTCCCCTATGGGTAACAGACTTAAGGCGGAGAGAAATTGTGCCTTTTCTTGATTTGTGTCACCATAAGTACCATTTGCGTACAACTATAATCGTCGCAGCCATTAGTAACATAAAGTTCCTATACGTTAGATGCATAGCGTTATCTGTTTCAGTTTAACTAGCAGTTGACGAGTAGAGTTAGGGAGTCTGAAAGCACAAGTGGGTCACTGGATCGATGGTGTGCATGTTTCCGCAATTCTGCTCGTCTAGCCGTAGCCAGTATGTATTTGTCAAGTAATTAGTTTCATATAACACATGTGTGCCAATTTTTGGGTTTCCGTTATATTTTTCAACATTTTAATACAATAGACTATGCATAACTATTCTGTTGTCTATGCTGTTGGTAATATCGGCTCGTGAAGAAATTTCCTTTCGTGACCATTTCCATAAGCCAGTATTCGAAACCTGTGCTTTGTAGATATCTGCCGTAGCTGTCAGTCACAGTATATGTATAGGTGCAAGTAAGAAGCAAAGATACGTCCAGTAACTAATATTAAATTCGTATGTAGAATTTCTAGATGTACGTTTGAACATGTTGTTGCTATAGGGAAACAGTCTTACTTATCGGCATAGCGATCTGTGGACAAGTCTGCCCTCGTTCATGTTTATATTTAGATTAAACTATTGATGCCATGTGGGAATGTTTAATTTGTTTGTCTCTAGATTTATTTGCAGACCTTATACGGCATTGACCGTCTACTCAGACATGTGGCCTAAATTTGATGAGGGAGTGCGAAGTCTCAGAGTTGCACTGAAAGATAATAATACATATTCTACAGAATCACCTTCATTTATATGAAGGGATACGTAAAGCACAATAGTGAGGAAGGATCGTATTCCATGTGATGTATCTGCTGAGATCCGAATTACCATTGGCTCACATATATACATACAAGTTCTATGATAGAGTGAAGTACAACTCTATGATAGGGTGTGAAAAGAATAGCTATGTTTACATGTCATGTTGTCATGCAAAACGAAAGAATATGCAATTGCCACGAGGGGAGTTCGTAATTGCTTATTTTGTGTGTTAATTAAAAGCAAATAGGTTACTCCAGCTATCTTTTCTTTACTCGTTTGCTCCTAATCAGTCATTTTTGGTAGGCAAGGTATTACTGTTACGTCATTGGGAACTCAAGACGCAGCGGAGGTTTTGTGCCTCGTTTGCTTTTTCACAATAACGTAGTATACCCGTTTAGGTTCAATGGCCAGTGGATGATATTTACTTTCTGCTATTAATGATTTCAGGCAACGTTCTGGTGTGCTGGGCGATCTGTGCGGATCGGCGTCTCCGCAAATTGGGAAATTTATTCATTGTTTCATTGGCAGTTGCAGATCTGCTCGTGTCCGGAATCGTGATGACGTTTGCACTTGCAAATGACCTTATGGGTTATTGGGCTTTCGGACCGCAATTTTGTGACGCATGGATCGCCATGGATGTTATGTGCTCCACTGCGTCGATACTTAACCTTTGCGCCATTAGCCTTGATCGATTCATACACATTAAGGATCCTTTGCGCTATTGTAGGTAAGCTAAGTGCGACCGATGATCATGAAAACATGATCAAGTCCATCGATGTAATGAAAGATAGTTACCTTATGTAAGTACGTCGGACAGAGATATGTGAAACTTGTCTGAAAATCTGAAATGATAAATGCTAAGGTAAGTGAGAGTCAAGAAATGTATTCGAAGCTATGGTGTATAATCTCGCTATGTTTTAACTGGGAGCCATATGGATGAGACTCCTTATTTGTTGAATTTTTTTTCTTATTTATCAATCAATTTTACTAATACATTTACTAAGAAGGCGATACTGCGACACGGTCTGTTGCTATCGGCAAACTCCTGATATTAGCATTAAGCGAAATGAAGCAGTACCGTAGAGTTGATATCTTTGGTAACATCTACGGTGTTGTAAGTCAGAACATCGATCGGTAAAGCGAGGCCAGGTAGAGTTTGAGCGAGTGGTATGTATCTGTCATTTCAATAGCATACATATAAAATGGTAAATTAAGACGTACACAAAATATATTCATATTTTTGGGCGCACAGAGCCTTTCTTTCACGCACCGATACTTGAAAAATGGGATGAGTTCTTTAATTAGCTATCACGAGCGGCACCAGGTAATGTGTCTGTAAAATTATAATTAGTTCTAAAATATTTAGATTGAGGAGAATGACATGATACGTACTACACACTATGCCGCTAGCCGTTGTCCGTCCTTTACTCTACCAATTAAACTTCGCTAATGGCCCTACTTGTCAGAAACAGAACGTTCCGCTAGCAGATTACAGGTCGGACGCAGTCGTGGACTTCTATTCATACAACGTATACGGTACGAGACGGTATCTGGATTTCGGAAAATGTCGCCATTTGAATATCACGAGAACCAGGGCTACACATTACTGTAGTTTACCCCTGCAAGCAAGCTATGGCGCACTGAACGGCGAAGTAATAGATGATGGACGAGGAGAGTAATGAGAAGATGATTAACGGCTAGTTGACAGTTTCCGTCTAGACACAGCCGTGGCGGTCTCGTGACGTTTCCGCGGTTTCTTTTCCTGTTATTTGTTTTCTACAAAGGCCGACCACAGTTAGCAGAAGGAGTCGTGGACGTGCACACCTATTTCTGCGTTCAGGTCACAGCAACAATGGCCTCTGCGAGGGTCGGACGTCGCGACCCGTACAATGGGTTGTTGTACGTGCCTTTGTTGAGAAGGCGATGACGGTGTGAGCGTTTTTATTTAGCTAATACTGACACTGCTGGTGCCTTTGCCATTTTTACTGGCAGCTTTTGTTGCTCTTTGTGCTTGCATTTGTTTGTACGTGCAACGTTAGTAGTATGCCTACTCAAGCCTCCGACCATAAAGCACGCTGGCTTAACACCGTTCTTCCTGTTTGTACGTAATAGCTCCGTGGTGGTTTTCCACTCGTCGCTTCGCTCATCGTTGCGGCGTATATCATCCACCTCGACTTTCGTACGCTCATAACGGACTGCGCTCTCATTTGTATATACAGACAACAACAGACCTCCTCGCCGGCTTTTTTCCAAGCCACTATACGTTAGACAATAGGAGGCCAAGCGCATACATGAACATGAAGCTGCATGAGGATGATAAGACGACGCTGTACGAAAGGCGACTTGGACTTTTGGTTTCTATGGCCATCTGTGTTGTTCATCTGTCATCGGATTCCAGTTCGCCCGTGCCGCTCTTTCGCTGACGCTGTCATGTTCATGAGTCTTTGTCACTGTTACACCGTCCCCTAAGACTAATGAAACAACTCAAACTAATCGCGCTAACGTCCAGCCATACTGCGGAGCGACGACAACGTGCATACATTCTAACAGCAATAAACAGGTTCACGGGTTTGCGGAAGTAAAGGCGCTAAGTGCTCGGTATGCGCAAATCTTCTCGAGCGAGAGGCCAATTGGCTGTAGTTCGTTGTGGCACGCATTGTGCCTAGCAGATTTGTCATTACCTTCAACTTCGAAATTCAAATTTCAGTTGTGTTAATAGAAGTGTTGACAAAGGCGGCTGCGAAAGTTCGTCGATATATGTTATTTGCTTTACGATTCAATAGTGCTTTGTCAGTAAGATGCCTCTTGTCTCAATGTGACTCTATGCGATGCTTTCTAATGGCAGTTCGATTAAAGATGTATGCGAATGACCGTTGTTGCTCGAAAGGAAGTTTATCGTAAGGTTGCTTGGTTTCCAGACATAATACACAGTCCTGGCACATTGGAATTTGTTCCGTTTCTGGGGAGTGGCTTGCGTCTGACTCGTGACGGCGCAGCTACCGCGTCACTTCCACGTCCACTCGCAGTTGGCGTCGCTGGAGTTCATGAGAGGACACCTATTAAACGGCGAAACTCCGTACAAAAGTTAGCGTCATGCTTCATGCCACACTCATTCAAAGCGCCACAGTGGGACATAGGATAGATGTACAAAGTTGTTAAAGAAACAATTTTTTTACGAAGCTCGCGCCATATATGAACAGCTTCTAGTAAACTAATAATAATAGTTGTTTGTGCTAAGACTTAGATGAGGCGAACGTTCATTCAAGATCTACCTGGAATTCAAAGGGTGCCTAGAACGCTAACAAGCTAGACGAAAACCTCTAAAAAATATACACGTTCTAGTGAAGAATTAACACTGGAAGACACAAACATAGATACCTATAAATGGCCCGGAATGTTCAAAAATACTTGCTAGCGGTTTCTTTCACTAAAAAGTTTACAGCATATGAACGGATTGATCTCGCTCGATACGTTAATGCCGAGAAGATTTATTTTATTAGAATAGTACGAACTGTATTGTAAGAGCAGTGATATAAATTAAGTCTAGAAGCTGGACAGGTGGTATTTTGTTGTTTTGATTTAAACATCGGACAGCTGTATTGCTGGACATACTTTTCGGCTTACCCATACTACGAATTGTACTTTATGTCAGAATATCACCTACTAAACGGGTCGACATGATTACGGTTATAAACGGGCTCTCCCAAGAATCAGTATAGACGAAAGGGCGACAAATGAGTGAACCCTTACCCAACGAGGCAGTTTTCCCGTCTTCTCCTGACGGTGATCAAAGTGCCTACAGTGGAAATCTCTCCGTCTGGCCAGAAAATAAATTAAAGGACTGGAACCTTTTCTTTACACATAACCAACATTTCTATCCTTTTAGACAAAAACTTAGCTTCGACGATGCACTAGTTGTGTCCTACGTTCTTACAGGTGTAGGGACAGCTTCTCGTTTCATATGAAATAGCGTCGTAACAAACGCTGTAAAGCAAAATTTGGCTACGCGCATTGAATTGAGAGCATAGCCTAAACTGAGAATATCCGCTGTATGTAGAATATTGTCGACATCACATAGTTACTCTACATGCTAATTGGAAAAGCAAGTAAATCCATTAATAGTAGCTGACGAGATGCCTAAATGCAGTTGTTATATATATATAGATACACGGGGGTGCGTTCACGCCCATATATAAGCAATACATATCAAGTTCATTGTTCTTATGCAACGTCGACAGTATTAACTCAGCCCTTATTTCTCTACTTGTTAGGCTCATTGTTCGTTCGCTTATTGCAGGTGGATGAGTAAACGCGTCGTCCTAGCCGTGATAGCAGCTATGTGGATGCTGTCCGCTATGGTATCATTTGTGCCCATCTCACTTGGATGGCATCGCAGCTTCCAGTCGGAGTCCATTGATGAAATGATCGTTGTCCATACGGAGGGACGCGTAGAGATCGGCTCCGCTCCCCCGGAGGCTCTTGTCCTAGAGAGCAACGGCACGTTAAATTGGACTGAGTTGACGTTCGTCACAACGAGTTCTATGGTTAGTGGTACAAGTACAGGCAGTGAGGTGGTGACAGACCTACAGCGCGATCTCCATCAGCCCAAGTGTGAGATGGATTTGACAAAAGAGTACGCCGTCTCATCGTCATTGATTTCATTCTGCATACCGTGCATGGTTATGATTGCATTGTATTGCCGACTATACTTCTACGCTCGAAAGCATGTCAAAAGTATCCGGGCGCTCAATAAGCCGCTCAACGGCGGGGCTGTCCAGCACCAGGCGCACGATCACAAGGCCGCCGTCACATTGGGCATTATTGTCGGCGTGTTCCTATTCTGCTGGGTGCCCTTCTTTGCAGTGAATATTGCCGCACCATTCTGCAAGACCTGCATACCTGAAATCGTCTTTAAGGTACTCACCTGGCTTGGCTACTTCAATTCTGCCCTTAACCCCATCATCTACAGCATCTTCAACACAGAATTTCGCGACGCCTTCCGAAAGATTATCACCACGCATTTTCTGGTGTTTTCCTCATGTTCTCAGCGTGACTCGATCAGAAGTCGTCACGCACAACACCAACAGCAAAATAATAACTCGTGCAACTACGTGCCCGCCAATTGCAACCTCTTATTGCCGATTCACCCTAACCAGAATAATCAGGAACCACGGATCCTCGTCAAGTCACCGATGGTCGAGTCATGCCAGGTGTAGGCGATCTAGGCGGTGATTTATCCGGAACCAATACCGGTGAATCTATCTACATTATAAAATACATACAAACACACACATATATATACACATACATAGTGCATACATGACACGTACACAGCAAATGGAAAAGAGATGATGTAAGATGGCAAATGACCGTCCGTAAAGTATGTGCAAATTGTATCGCACTGTATTGTAGACTATAGTGTCTTCTTTTTGCCAACAGACTGCAATAGAACTTGGTCCCGCTACAGACAAATACCTTGGCATGCTGCTGCCACTGTTGTTGATACGTCCCATTTGGCTAAGCAAACCAAGTCTTTCTAGGACCTATCAGATCGTGCACTGTTACGAGATCATGCACTAAAACCACTAGAAATAGTCACTTAACTATTGCGCGTTTACTGATGTTCGCGGAGCCCGACACCACCCCGATGCTCTATTTATACCACGGAATTGCATTTGTTGTTTTAGATTCAAGGGACAAATATACGACCGCTACAAAAGCCGGTTCCATAAATAAATAATGGTAAACAGTCGTAATGCATTAACGAAACTGTCAACCAGCGTCAACTCACTTTTTTTTTATAAAACAAAAAGAACATGTTAGAATTTATCATCAGTCAAAAACGCCTTAAACCAAATTATCGATCGTTAGGTGTATTTGATACCCTCCACTTGACAAGCTGATTGAAACATGTTTGTGATGGGAAGCAATTGATTGTGGCACTCAAACCAGCGGCAAATGCATTCATAACAATATAAGTGTGGCATAACAGAATTTAGAAACTTCCGACAATAAGTAAGTACATCGTATATTCTAGAGGGAAAAAAGCTGAACAGTTAGATCAATAACAAATCACACGAATGATTCACTTAAGCAGACAGGAATCGTTCTACCGGTATATATATATATACATTGTAATATAGATCAATTGTAGGCTTCGATAATAGACGGAAACCATAAAGACAATAAAAAAGACGACAAGAAATAGGGAAGATAACATTAGGGCGGCAATATAATCATATACAATAATATTTATAGAAGACATATACAAATAGTTACTGTTTATATATTATATTGTTAATAATATGAGCATTATTGGTGTACTGTGAACATAAATAACAACAATGTTTGTTAGGAGCACATGACGAAACGTTTACTTGTCTGTTTGTTACTTGTATATTTGAAATGCTCCAACTCACACGGGCTTACCCATAGTCAGGTCGCGGTGCCTTCTATCTTTATCTGCATTCCCGTAAAAATAATATTCCTCATGAGCCTGTTATTAATCTACCCACAAGCTTACCACTTTCCATCGCCCGTCTTAGTCTTTGCTGTCATCACCGATTTACCCCCTGGCTCTTCTTCAATAGCACAGAGCTTGTCTATCGTCGGAAACACGCCGCCTAAACGAATTTGCTTTTCGCAACGATTATGACGATGACCACTCGGCCAACAGTTGACCGATCGTTTCGAGCCCGCGTACGGATACTCCGGGTCGATGTGTTTATAAGAAAATTGCAAGCGAGATGCAGTTAAATGATGATGGGTAAATGCGTAGCAGCCTGTATATAGTGTACAAATTGTGGATTATTACTAGCACCATCCTGAAAATGTTAATGATGATGTATAAGAGGATGACACTAATCTTACCCAATAAATGTCGAGAGAAATTCGTTTGCTATTCTGTCGCCTGGGCTTGTTTTATAACCGCACGTCGAAATGAAGCGGGCTGCCCCATATGACAACAAACTGCATTCTGTGCATAAGGCAAATTTGACGTACGAATCGAATGGCCTAGGCCTGCTATTGGGCGAATTGATTTTGCTGTAGCGACGGCAGGCCTTCCATAGTTAACTGATACCACAAAAAGAAATTCTCATTTGAAAGCAGAGCACCAGCTGTTAAATTTGCAAAAAATACGAGAAGAGGAGCGACAAATCAAGCATAAAATGGAGAAGAGCCTCAAGGAGAGAAGACTCCCTCGTAGGTTCAATCATGTCCAAACCAAAACTCTCCTTATCATAATACGGTTCAAACTATGACGAGGCAGAACGACTTTCTTTGCCGTGGCTGGAGCGAAGTACGGTTTCGCAGGTTTGCCAGCTGTCCAATGGCAATAGTAATACGGTATCTATGTCAAACGCAAAAGCTAACGTCTCGTCTTCAGAAGCTTAGCCGACCTCAGTCCGTAAGCTCGTACTTAGAATTTTCAAGCACGTTTTATGCAATGCATGTTTACTTAGAGAATGAGCGCCTAAAACGAGCGGTGATGTGTGCAATAGGCATTGGTAGAAGGTTATTATCTACGGAGTTATTCGAAGCTTTTTCCAGGTCGCCTTTCGAATACCTGCATGGGTGCGTTGTAGGTCAGGCAGACAAAACAGTTAATCCCGAGAGTATTCGTATTTTTTATTGCCTAAATATAGAAAATATTGTTTCTAGCCTGTTACTCTACGTTCCTTTAGCTGGCCGACAACAGCAAATGCATTATCAGTCAATTGTTGAAAGTCCAGAAATGCTTACTTATAGACATTGTGAGTTGAGGATTGTTAGATTAGATCGTAATAGCGTATGCCTACCCGTGTAAAATAAAAAAAATGTCCACTCGTGTAAGGAGTAAGAAAGTTTTCCAGTCGGCCTAGCAATGCCTTACTTCTACGTTAGTAAATTTACTCGCATTGATATGCGCCACTCTAACAGGAATTTCTGTATTTCTTCAACGTCGAAGCGTCGTCTTGCTTCCTAGGGTCGATGATTAACCTTTACTGTTCCAGTAAGAGTTTATCGGAACAATGACGGTCATCCTAAAATAAAGCGATATTAAAAAAAAACCGAGAGGAAGTCGCTAAAGAAGATACTATACAGATTATTGTAGAAAACATAACATGTACGTACATCGATACAAGTATTTAAAACACTAGACAGCGTCTTTTCTTCTAAATGGCGCCGACCCGTAGCAAGATTTAGGGGTGAATGAACGGGAAAAAAGTTCCTGTTCTGAAGAATGTTAGCCAAATGACGATAGAGGTACAACAATTCAAACCGAAAGTGATAAAATGTCCACGGCGTGCAAAGCAAGCTGAAAAATTTCTGGCAGCCCCAGTAACTTTGGGCAAACTTCTTTAGCATCATGAATGAACGCATTTCGCATCGCACATTGCATGTAAATATTAGAGAGAGCCCATAAACGTTTGAAAATGAGAGAAGATCGACAAGTATCCAAATAATGGAGCAGAGAAACGCGAATGGAGAGGTGGTGATTCTATGCCTATATCTATGTGTAAAAATTACATGATGATGGTAACGGTGATGATAAATAGGCAAAGTGTGAAGCAATTGTAACCTTGCGCAAAAGCGAGCACAGTCAAATGGAAGAATAGAGAAAAAGCGGAAGTGTGTGCAAATGTATGCGTACGTGCGTGTATGCATGTGTGTAGCATGAACGAAGTACGAAAGGACGACAGCGTCGAAAGACCACAGTAAAAAGAGTTGACAAGAGTAGTTAGCACATCATGTACAGGTATACAGAACTGGATATGCTCGCAACAACGAGCACTTGTCGTAGAAGCAACTGCAGATGCACCGTAAAATGAAAAAAAAAGATACAATACAATAATAAAGAACAGAACATGAATCGATTCTAAAAAAATTAGCGATAAAGATAGCATTCCATCATGCATACAGAGCGTCCCAGGCCAAATAGATAGTGTACATGCACGCTATCAACAATAACAACTCATTCTATTCTATTTGTCATGCAATCAGAGCGGAACAAAAGACAAAACAAAGATTCAAGCTAGCGAAAACAAACAGAAAAAGTATGATAGGCAAAAAAAATCACCTGTGATCATAATGATGCTGATGACGAGCTTAACGATGAAAATTAATAATAATGGACTGTGTGTACTTTCGTTGCTTTGTTCATCCGATCGAACTACAATGGCGATGATGATGATAGCGACAATAATAAATGTCTGTTGTATCTTAGCCGACCAGTGTTGTCATTGCGGTGGTGGATGAAGATGGTACACAAGCAGACCAAGTTTAGGGCGCAAAATTTCAAAATTGTTATTAATAATGTAGATACGCTAAGACATTGACAATGGCAGACATGAGATATGGAAAGCTGATAGGACCGTTTAGGAAAGCGTTTGTACTAGTAGGTAAATCGATAAATACGCGAGTACGATATATGTATATTTCTGTATAGAGATGAGAAGCAGGCGGTATCGACCGTTCGGAGATGTCCGCCGGTTGTTTTGTCCTATCCGCTGTCGCTCAGGCTCGAACGAATAATCATTACATTATCATCCGAACCGCATGATGGAATAAAAAAAACATATACGTTGCTACACGTGGCATTACGAAATATATATGTTTGCGCCACATGCATATCATGTTTGGTGGAATTGCGGCGCCATTTGCCACTTTAAATCTAATGAAGAACACTAAGTATGCTTGATTCGTGAAGACAGTGTCCATGGGGATATGTTGTTATTGATACGTACACGTGCCTGTAGAAGCCCATATCAATGTACATGCATAAGGACTTAACACCAGTCAAGTCCTTCTGACTACAGGACTGTGCGGTCTGCTAGACGAACGCGGACAAAACACAGGCGTCACGTTCGCATTCCTATAGTTGCTATGTGTGCTTGGACTACACATCTGACGACTAGCTGCATGACAGGCGACGGCGACGGCGACTGAGATTGAGACTGCATATACCTAGGTAGCACCAGCACCAACATTGCTCGTATCCCGACGCGTACGCTCGTGCTGATGCTAGCTCTAGCAATACGTTCGATTAATATCATCGATTATCTTGAAATGAAATGTATTAATGATAGAACTTATTTATGAGTAAGCCATTGAAGCGCTTGTGTAGTTGAGTCTTCACGTTTACTAGGTATAATCGTTGAGAGACCAGACTTGACAGTAAAGGTGATATCGTCTAGTTTACATACTTTCGTAGAATGGATCTGCGATGGTTGATTCAGCCTACTCAATATCCTCAAAACATGGTAATCTATCAACAAGCAAATATATGCAAGGGGATCCTTGCAAGAACATGTTTAATGACTAAGCGATTTAGTCGCTCGCTTTACGCGGCCTCGTTTCCTGGCCGATGTTTTAACAACGACCAAAAATACATAATTAGATTTTTTCTATAGAGGAATTTTCTACCTTAGCTACGATCTGTCGACAGATTGATCGGTGATACGCCCATGACGCTGTATCAACCCACACTATGGTTAGTCAACGGCAGCGATCTGTGTATAACCTATAGGCGTCGGACCGAGTTTTGGCACAGCCTAGTCATGAGGTACCAATCCTATCAGCGACTTCAGATGCAATTTCGATTTTTTTTAGATAAAATTGCATATTTTTAGATAATATTATACCATCCAAAACATACTCGAGCATTTGAGGTACTGAAACTTATAATAACGTTCGTTATTAATAAACAACAGTGCTCAGCACGAAATTTGGAGCGTCCTGAAACGACTCGTTTGGCCTAAGCTGACCTCTATAATAATGGATCAAACTGCATTTCCTATTATAACTTCTGTATGTCGGAAGTATATTTACATATCAAGATGTTTGCATCGATGAAATTGGGTCTCCCAGTGTTACATAAGGCTAACATAAGATCCTCTATATAGTCCGAGGGTAATGGAACCTGGACATTTGTCGCCCTTGAACATAGATTTGTTGCTGCCAGCTAGCTGTCAAGTGTTAGACTGAACAAATTCGTTTCGTTTAACAAACAAAAAACTGGGACTGACACAGGCAAAACGTGTCTCTATTGATAGGTTTGGCGATTATGGGCTCCGAACTTGTACGATAGAGCGCCAACTTGAAAAACCGAACTTTCGAAAGTGGTACTTCGTTAGCTAAGGATTGAAATCAACATCGTGATTTTATCAGTGGACAGCGACCTCAGCTTTGCAAAAAACGCGAAGATTTTATAGGAAAAACGCAAATGGAGTAAGTTACAGTCGGGAGAAACTCAAAAATAGACGTTCGGTAAAAAACTGAGCTAAACTTTACGTTAGAAATTCAAAGGTGCTTTCGAAGCATTTACATCATATATAAGTATACTTGGAAGTATCTGTTGGAAAAAACAAACACGATTGCTTTTAATGTCGTAATGTGATATTTTTCCTGGTGATTTGTTATTTCTTGTCGTGGACCAAACGCATTAAGTGAAAATGACCTTTGCCTATAATCTTTTTGAAATGTTACCGGGGACGAAAAGCTTTCTATATGCAGGTCGTACAAACCATTTTTTCTCAGTCTATTGATTTCAGCTGATCGATGAAAGCGGGACGACTAAAACTGCCAAACATCCAACGTCGATGCGACCCACAATTCACGATTGTTTCACCCATAACTGGGCTCAAATGTCAAAGCGAGTCGCACAAGACGGCCGACGTATGGCTACTCTTTGCGGTTAAAATGTTTAAATTGTTACGGGTGTTCATAAATACAGTGCCGAAATCACTCAATAGCACAATCTATCCAGAGTACTAATAATAGCGACTGGTCGCTTTACGTTAGTGACAAAATCGTATTGTGTATGTGTACGTATTTCAATCAGGTTCGAAAGGGGTAAATTGCCTGGGTTTTGAGAAGCGTTGACTAAAAGTCAACTAACAAAGCTAAGAGACTAGAACCGTTTGAAGCGTGCACTGTGGGGCAGCCAATTCTAAGGACATCCAATTTTTCAACGTCGACGTGCGTCCCAAATAGAGAGTGAAGCTTAGCTTTGTGGAAACTTTAAACAAGTTGATCCAATCGTGATCAGGTTATATCTACGTACTTGGCAATGGCCGAGCGGCAAGCGCACAATTTCGATGGTTGATTGAAGGTTCCCGTTCCGCCAATACAAATGCCTTCCTTCAAGGCCATGAAATTTGAAAAAGAAAGCAATGTAGAATGCTTTACGAAATAAGATCGTTTTTTAATACAGGTATGAAAAAGTTTCAAAGAAATTCAATTATCAGCAAAAAGTAACGCCTTATATACGCAGCAAAATTTCGTGTCGTAGATTCAGACTGGGACTAATTAAACGGATTCGTGTTATCAAACCATAGTCAGCATAAAGCACAACAACGTAATTTTCCTTCAAGCTAAACTTATGTTTATACTGAAATCTGCAACAAGCACGTTATATAGATATAAACATATGTATAATATGTTTGTAACGCAGATACCATATTCAAATTTCTGCGTCACTACACTTAGAAGAAATGGAACGTGCAAAAAAAAAATCGACCACCTGATCCATAGCTGTAGCTGGAGAGTTGCAGTTTGCAACATAGGGATATGCGTATCACGTCCATGGTCCACAATAACAGTCATTCAAGTGTCTGTGTGCAGCATAGAGATTAGAGACTATAAATAAATAAGTGAACTTATTGTGTTCTTAGGGGCATTCGGCTTCTTAGAAAAGTCAATGCACATTCTATTCAATACCTGCAATATTAAATCTTCGTATTCCAGACCTGTTCCGAAGAAACCTGCAATGCATCTTTTTTTAAACTTCGTTTAACAAAAATGTTATATCCTTAAAAAAATTACGCTGGTAATTGTGTTACTGTTTGCCTACTTTTATATAGCGCTTAAGGGTGCTCCCTTTTCTGTGAGCTTATTGTAATTCCGGGGCGCAGGTCATGGAATTTCATATTGACGGTTCAGATTTTTAGTGAGATCGAAATCTGCCGAAACAGCTCGAAGTATTTGAATTGCGTATAACGAGGACCGTTTAATTAAGGCTGGAAAAAGTTTGCCAAGTTCGAAGATGGAATTCTAGATCTAGAAAGTGTACTCCACCTGGTTGGTGGGCGAGATTGACAAGGACCCCGGATGACAAGTAACTTGTGATTTGGCTGAGAAGATAGGCTGCAAAAACTAGACCATTGTGCACCTTGAAGGTATGCCATTTTAACCCAAGGTAAGAATTGGGGGTACCATGGACTAGGTGAACGATGCTTCTCATTGCCATTCAACGTCTTGCCCGGCTCTGAGCACCACGCAGTCACAATGACAGGTTTCTATATAGAATCGTCGCCGTTATGAAACAGTACTGTCTCCAAGACGACGTAAAGTAGGGGAGGAAATAGGTAGGAGAGATACATTTAAAGCCAAACGTAAGCTGGATCTCCATCCCAAAGAATCATGACTTATTCTCTATGGGCCTAAAACGGTTTTATATGGGAAATTCTCGAAAACAATAAGGCAGTCTATAGGGACCTAAATATTCTCTAATTGCATAGGGTGAACGAGTTTATCTAATAACAGAAATTTAACAAACATCACAAAATTATCCTTTGGTACGACAATGCCGGGCCGCAGATGGCAAAGACTGTGAAAGCTATTCACGAGGGTCTTTACACTCTCCATATTCCCTAGACCTTGATTCAAAAAGCTGCTACTTTTGAAAAAAGAAACAAAGAAATGAAAAAGACCAAACTACACTTTTGACAGTGAAGGGCCTCCTGAAGCCTGGCTGGACGAGTTCTTCAGTAGCGAACGTAATAATTTTTAGCGAAAAGAAAGCAATAAATGAGTCGAGAGGTACGAGAAAGCCGTGTTTTAAGAAAGAAATACGTTTGTAAAAAGAAATGGAATCTTGGTCGCGCCTATGTAAACTCGCACACATCGTAGGATCATTTTACATGTAAGAGAAATAACCTCAACTGGTTACGGTTTTTCAAGAATACTAAACCGTCAACTAAAAGTAGTCGTGAAAGTATGCCAGGTACGCTCTAATAAGGAACCTGATACG